CTTCCGTAGTGATACCGCCTCGGAAGCCCAAGGAGGGGTCGCTGTGAGTCAGGTCCGACTCGATGGCTCACAACAACAACAACAACAGAAGTCTCTGAGCTAGGGTTATATCTGTAGTGATGCCACCTCGGAAGCCCAAGGAGGGGTCGCTGTGAGTCGGGGCCGACTTGACGGCAGTGAGTGTGGCTTTTTGTTTTTGGGTGAGGTGCATGTTTTTGCAGATTCCTTTTCCATCTCCTTTTTCTCCCTCTCCGCTCCTGATCCAGCCTGGAACTCCAGGCTCAAACTCCCTCGCTCCAACCCGGTGCCTGGCCCTCCACCCTCCTGACGACTTTAAGTTTGAAGTCAGTGGTGTTGTTTCTGTCATAGTGAAGGGCTGTCAAGTCAGTCCCAGCTCCTAGTGACTCTGAGACAACAGACTGAAACCCGGCCCGGTCCGGGGCCACCCTCGCAATCGCTGAGTTTGAGCCCACCCTGCAGCCACTGTGTCAGTCCGTCTCATCGAGGGGCTTCTGTACCGACCCTCTACTTTTCCAAGCATGATTTTCTTCTCCAAGGACCGGCTTCTCCAGGTACCATGTCCAAAGCACAGGAGAAAACATGTGCCCATCCTCGCTTCTAAGGAGCATGCTGGCTGTACATCTTCTGAGACAGATTTATTCATTCTTCTGGCAGTCCATGGCATATTCAACATTTTTGGCCAACACCATGATTCAAAGGAATCAATTCTTCTTTGATGTTCCTTATTCATTGATAAGCTGTTGCGTGCTTATGGAGCAATTGAAAACACCATGGCTTGGGTTAGGCACCCTTAGCCCTCAAAGTCACATCTTTACTTGTTAGCACTTTAAAGAGGTATTTTGCAGCAGATTTGCCCAATAATTCCTTGACTGCCACTTCCATGGGCATTGATTATGGATCCAAGTAAAATGAAACCCTTGACCCCTTCAATCTTTTGGCCGTTTATCATGATGTTGCTTATTGTAAGATTTCTCATTGTGTTGGTGGAGTTGTCATGCGCCATCGAGTCAGACCCAAGTCACAGTGACCCCTCCTTGGGTTTCCAAGGCGGTATCACTACAGAAGTAGATTGCCTCACCTTCCTTCTGAGGCGTGGCTGGTGGTTTAAACCACCAGCCTTCTGGTTAGTAGTCAACTGCCTTAGGCACTGCGCCACCAGAGCTCCTCATTGTGGTGTAGGACTCGCATTTAATTCCTGACCTGATCCTAAAGGGTTCTAAGATTTAGATTTATAAACTGAAAACGTGCACAATATAATCCATAATGGGCTGATTCTGGTAAAGAGACGGTAAAATTCAAATGTGAAATGTACAAGAAGCAAGGGTCCCTTATGTGCTGCCAAAGATGTGACTGAGTTACCCAGGATCGTTGATTAGTAAGACATAATTAAACTATGAAATAAGTAGATCAAACTTAGCTTAATGGCTTCACTTACAATGATCTGATAAGGTCTTCTAATTCAACGGTTGAGCCAGGAACGACTGTGTATCAGTTTTACTTTGTTTACTCCTCTCACGAAAAGCCGGAGTCAGCAGACCACTGTGGTAACTGGGTCAGTGCAGACTGAGTGGAGATTCCCATTGACAGCCACCCGATGCCATTGATGCTAGGGCAGGCTTCACTTCCTTTACGCTTTCTCAAGAGCCCCAATCAGGGACAGGCTCTGGTAGGTGCGATGTTCCGACTAATGACTGAAAAGTGAGGAGGGTATAATTACCAAGTTACATTAATAGAAACAAACACAGTTTCAATTGTTTATTTTCTGATTACCAAAGTACTGCCAAATTAGATCGATAACTTCTTGACCGTGGCTTATACTTTTATTCTACAAATGTGATCAAAAATAACATTTTTAAACTATTGAGTGTGGGTGGATGAAGCCGAAATTCACTCCTGGAAATGCCATGAGACATGCGTGGTACCTGTGTGGCCGCGCTGTGCTAGAATTGTTGCGTAATTTCCGCATTTCTGTGTGGTATACACACATGTGTATTATTCATGTGGCCATACAATTTGTGAAAAAACAGGGTCGTTGCGTATCTGTGACCCAGGAAACCCCGTTGCCATCAAGTTAATTCTTACAAGGCTGTAATCTTTCTGGAAGCTGACTTTCACATCCGTCTCCTGCAGAATTGCTGGTGGGTTTGAACCGCTGACTTTTCGGTTAGCAGCTGAGCACTTAACCATTGTGCCACCAGGGCTTCATGCTTCCCCCCAAACCCTTCTAGCAATATTTCCTCATTGGTGTTACTGTTCTAAGTTGTCAGGCTGGCTCACACTCGTGGTGACCTGAGTGTAAGAACGTTTTGGCGAGTGTCGTCTTGTCCGGCCCCGTCTTCCTGATTTTTGACCCACTGATCCCCTGTGGCTCTCGGGTCCGCTCAGCTCACTGAGGGTCTCTCTTTCTCACTGACCCTCTGTGGTATCAAATAAGATGTTCTCTTCAGGGACTGGTCTTTCCTGATGATGAGTCCAAAGCAGGCAAGTCAAAGCCATCTCTCACTGTCATACTAATGGTAACAGCACTCATAGGTCGATGGATCGTTTTCGTCCAGGAATTAATCAAGGGCCCTCGCTGACTTGATCGTTGGTCTCTCTAGTCTCTTTCAATCTACAACAGCTCCAGCCTTTCGTCTGGTTTCATTTTTCCTTTTGTCTTTCGTGACACTCACATTGTAAAAGTATCCAGACCAGTAGGTTTGCAGAAAGTGCCTCCTTTTGGATTTGTCTAAAGCTTCTGGTTTATTAAAGTCCTGGATGGTGCAAATGGCTCACACACTCACTGCTGACCACAAGGCTAGGGGTTTGAGTCCACCGGAAGGTACCACAGAAGAAAGGCGTGGTGAGAAACCAGCCACTGAAAACCCCGGGGAGCACATTTCTGCCCTGACACTTGTGGGGTCGCCAAGCTGGACTTGACAGCAACGGGTTTTGGTTTTCCTGTCGATTAGACTTGGCTTAAACTTTATGGGCAGGAACATGACATAGTTGGAGCTTCTCAGTACTGACACCAGCACATGAGGTCAATTCACCCCATTATTGATGACATCAGGTTTGATCGTTGGCCAAGGTGGTGTTCTCCAGGTTCCCGAACATCTTCTTCCCTCGAACTCTTTCATCCAATGGTGTTAGCATCCACAGAGATGATTCTTTGTTGAGTCAGTCATACCAGGCTGGTTGTAAGATGGTGATTTGGTTTGGTCCATCTACATCTCTCGGCTGGTGTTCTTGGAGCTCCAGGGGTATGGTGGTTAAGGCATTTGGCTCTTAACCAAAAGGTCAGTGGTTCAAACTCACCAGCCACTCTGCGGGAGAACTAGGAGGCAGGCTGCTTCTGTGAAGATTTACAGCCTTGGAAACCCTGTGGGCGTCCCTATGGGACGGAATGGACTCTACGGCAGTGAGCTTGGTTTGGTTTGGGTTCTTCTTTAAAGAAAGTGTTCCCTTCCCCGCTCTCCGAATAGTTTGACAAGTTTCCATGCTGACACATGGATTTGTATTTTATTCAGTGAACTAAGGCTTTTAGTGTCATCATTTATTCTGTGCTCCTGTGTTTCCAAGGAGCTCTGGTGGTGTAGTGGGTAAGACATTGGGCTCTTAACCAGAAGGTCAGTGGTTCAAACCCACCATCAGCTGTTCCTCGGGAGGAAGATGAGGCAATCTACTTCCGAAACGATTTACAGCCTTGGAAACCCGTGCGGGTCGCTATGAGTTGGAATTGACTCAGTGGCAGTGGGTTGTTTCTGGATTTGCCCAGTGAGCCCTCCCGGTGCTCCTGTGCCAATTCCTTTGAGATTTCCTGGCATTCTTTGCGCTTCTTTACTTCCTGGACTGATACAACGTATCAAGCACCCCTCCTCCCTGTTCCAATCCTGCAGGCGGCGGAACCCAGGCCGGGTGCCTTTTCCCAGACTATGATATTTAGAATCCAAGAGTCCTAAGGGTCTCCTTGCAACAGGGCTATGTTGCCTTTAAGCCTTTTCTGTGAACAGAGCTAAGTGGTTGTTTTTGTTTTCAGTTTCCTAATGCTAGTAAAACCCCAAA